GTGCCAGGTGCAGGGTCTGCTAGCTGGGTGCTGGCAGGCTTGCACCTGGCACGGGCACCGTAGCCAGCCCGTGCCCCTTTAAGGGGTCAGGGGCCGGGAGGGGGGCATAGAGTTTCCCTGGTGTTGGCCAGAGTGGCCACCAGGGAAACCTGGGAAGCCTTAGCCTCCCACTAGTTCGAATTAAGGGGCTACACACCCCTTAATTCGAACTAGTAAGTTCGAACTAGGCTTAGTCCTTGTAGAATGAGGTTTACCTAGTTCGAACTAAGCGCTCCGCTAGTTCGAATTAAATTCGAACTAGCGGAGCGCTACTGTAGCGCCTATGAAAGTTAGTTCGAACTAACGTCCGTTAATTCGAACTAACTCTGTAGTGTAGACATACCCTATGACTCACTAAATTTAGTGATATCGATCTAGCTGATTCCTCTTTAACCAGTCTCTGGAATCTGGCTCTTGCATTAATTCATTAGAAGGGAAGTTCCTTAAATTCAAAAAGTACAAAATCAATAATGGATACAGCCTTCTTCTGGGACTCAATAGCTAAGGAAGTTTAGCAGCAGCCCTTGTTTAAATCCATTGTGGTTAACTGTCACACCATATTTCATGTATCATTTTTATTGTACTTTTCCTTGACCTCAACATCCCAGATTTTGACAAAGACTTGCATGAGCAAGGGCAGGTAAGGTGTATGCTACTGTGTAGCAACACTGATCCAGGAATAATTTCTTTCTCTGCATCCAGAGTATTGTAAATTCCCCATAACATTTTTTGAGACTGACATCATCCAGTTTCACCTAAGAGCATCTCCCAGAACAGAGGAGAAAGTCACAGTGGAAATGTCTCAAGCTACATTGTATATCACAGCTTCTCATAGTTCATTTGAGTCACAATGATTGATTTTCCATAATCTTCATAGGGCTAAGAAATGGCCTTCCAGGAGCTGATTTTAACTAACGTGATGGTTGGTGCATATGGATGCCAGCATATATTGCTTCCTATGTCTGTTTCCAGAATTTTTCTGATTCATGTGTCACATTATATTACATCAGCACAATGGGGCACTTTCATACCAGCTTTTCAAGACGTTAAACAAATCTAGAACATAAATCAAGTTAAGGATCCCGAAAAAGAAATACAATGGGCCACTCACAAAGAACAGTCAAAGGGACATCATGTACCAATTAGTCTCCTCTGCCTGAATGACTCAGCAGAAGTAATTTTCTCTGACCTCAGCTGCAGCCAGGGTGCTGACAGATAAGCATCACCAGTTTCACCCATCAGGGCTATGTCTACACTCGCGGCTTCTTGTGCGAGTAATATGCAAATGAGGCTAAGCGTGGAATATCGCCGAGCCTCATTTGCATATTACTTGCACAAGAAGCCGCGAGTGTAGACATAGCCGACAAGTTCACCAGACAGGTTCTGGAATTTGTCTTGTGTATGTAAAAATATTTCTATAATATTGAATACCATGTTACCAGGCCAGGATTATATTAATATAATTTCTCCTTCTCATGAATATACAGTTCAGAGCACAATACACGCAAACACAACACGGAACATGGTCTGAACGTTTTTACTGTCATTTTCTGAAGAACAGGTGATCCAGCCTCTTGGGGTTCCTCATGGAACATCCTCAAAATTGGAGCTACACATTAGTTCAGCCTTACTCAAGATCTCATTAAACTAACAAATGAAGAACACTTTTCTTCCTTGTTTTAATCCCATCAAATGGGGTCCAGTCTATAAGTTCTCTTCCTCCACAGTGCTCTGTTCAGTATCATATCCTCTTATCACACTATTGGCTAACAAGCCTTCCTTTATGTTGACATCTCACCGCTTCTTGTTGGGTCAGCCTCTGTCTTTTTTTGGTCAATCTTGGTCAGGTGGACTCTCTTACCCATATAGTTGCCAGGACTGTGATGTACACCATCAAACCATCTGGGCCTCCACTGCCTCATTTTTTTATTTAAGGATGTTATTTTGAGCATGTCTCTAACATATATTTAGTCTTTCTTGCTTAGGCCACTCATCCATCTCAACATTCACATTTCTGTGAGACAGATCACCTGCTCATGGTCCTTCTTTGTGGTCCAACACTCAGTGCCATCCATTGAAACCGAAAGAGGTACCGTTTTGTAGACTTTCCCTTTTAACCTTATCAAGATCTTCCTGTCACATTCTGCACCACCTATCTTTTCCCATTAGAAGCAGGGATTTATTATCCTAGCTCTACTTTTGTCTTCCATTGCCCAAGTCTCTGGAACCCAAATTCTGGAGATTTTGCCCTAGACTCTGGAAATTTCAGTCCTGTCTGCTAATCTAGTTTCAGGGACAATTCTCCAGCGTTCACATTACTGGAACTACACACCCTTGTACTTTGTGTGCATATTTTGAGCTCATGTCTCTCCAAACATCTCTCCCTTGAGCAAGATCCTCGTCTCACTGCAGAGAACGCCATTTTCATACAGCACACACCGAAGTGCCTCTTTCTGGATGTGTCTCGTGAGAGTATTTAGGACAGGTAGAAAGGGTTCTGTGCTGATGCCTTATGCTCTCCAACTTTAATGATAGCTCATCTGCTTCACCACCAGTCGGAACTTCAGGTGCTGTTGCACCTACATATAAGGCTTCAACAACCTGCACAAAGTCCCACACAATTTTCCCCCTCACACACAACCAGATGGCTACCCCTGGAATTCAGTCAATAGCTTTTTCCAGATTCAAGCACTTCACGGGAATACTTTTCCCCTGCACTAGCCCATTCCAAGCCCAGTTGAAAAGGAGGATTGGCAGCTGGTTGTAAAAAAATGCATTGATACTATAGTCCTGAAATGAATCAAGAACATGAGGAGTATTCTAGAAAGGATGCACAGTGCCCCCTCCCAAGTGTTGTGGAAAGCTGACCAGGGCCATGCCATAACAGCTAAGAAAACCGAGGGTATGTCTACACTACAAAGTTAGTTCGAACTAACGGACGTTAGTTCGAACTAACTTTAATAGGTGCTACACTAGCGCTCCGCTAGTTCGAATTTGAATCGAACTAGTGGAGCGCTTAGTTCGAACTAGGTAAACCTCATTTTACGAGGACTAACGCCTAGTTCGAACTAGCTAGTTCGAACTAGGCGTTAGTCCTCGTAAAATGAGGTTTACCTAGTTCGAACTAAGCGCTCCGCTAGTTCGATTCAAATTCGAACTAGCGGAGCGCTAGTGTAGCACCTATTAAAGTTACGTTAGTTCGAACTAACTTTGTAGTGTAGACATACCCAGAGTCTTGTAATTTCTCATTTTGGGAAAAAAATAGTTTGTCAGTAGAGTAATTTGAATTACTGCCCTGGACCGCAAGAGGAGGGCACCTTCCTGGGCTAGTGAGGACATCGTGGACCTCGTCCACGATCTCTGCACTAGGCACAGGAAAGTGGCCGTCTAGGGCAGGAGAGCTGCCAGCCTGGCCACCCAGGACCAGGTGTGCATGAAAATCAAGGGGGTCCACTGAGACCCCCGACCCTGAGCCCTGAGCTTACAATGGCCGTACTGGGTCAGACCAAAGGTCCATCTAGCCCAGTAGCCTGTCTGCCAACAGCGGCCAACCCTAGGGACCCTGGAGGGGATGGACCGAAGACAGTGATCAAGCCATTTGTCTCGTGCCATCCCTCTCCAGCCTTCCACAAACTTTGGGCAGGGACACCACTCCTACCCTCTGGCTAATAGGACTCCATGGACCCAACCTCCATGACTTGATCTCACTTCCCTTTAAACTCTGTTCTAGTTGTAGCCTTCACAGCCTCCTGCAGCAAGGAGTTCCACAGGTATACTATTTGCTTTGTGAAGAAGAACAACTTTCTCTTACTAGTTTCAAGCCTGCTACCCATTCCTTTCCTTTGGTGTCCTCTAGTCCTTCTTTATGGGAACTCAGGAAGAACTTTTCTGAATGCACCCTCTCCACCCAACCCCTGCTTTTAGAGACCTCTATCCTGTCCCCCCTCCGTCTCCTCTTTTCTAAGCTGAACAGTCCCAGTCTCTGTAGCCTCTCTTCATCTGGGACCTGTTCCCAACCCCTGATCATGTTAGTTGCCCTCCCCTCTCCCAGCCTTTCTCTTCCCCTCTCCCACCTCCTTTTCCCAGTCTCCCCCAGTTTTTTTCAATAAAGACAGAGTCAATGTTGGAAGAAACGTTATCTTTATTTTGTACATCAATAAGAAGGGGGGCTAGGGAAGGGTAAGTGGAAGGAGGTGAGGGAGGAATGGGGTACGAGCCCCCGATGGGGAGGACTGGGCTGGCTCTGCGGGCTTCTGGGGGTGGAAGCTCTCCTGCAGCCCCCCAATTACTCCCTCTCCCCAGATGGCAGCCTGCGGCAAGTGCAGCCGGGCTGATGGCCGAGTGGTGTGATGTGCCCAGTGTGGGCACTCAGGGCACTCCAAGCCAGAACTTCTTTGCAAGCGGGGCACCCCTTAGAACTGTGTGTCCGGGGTGGGGGTCGGGACCCTTTAAGCGCAGCCCTCGGCTAGCCTGAGACAGTATCTCCATGCTCTAAGTCCTCCTTTTATGCCCTGCCGGCACTGCTTCCGGCCATCCTTAAGCCCTGTTCAGAGTCCACTCAATGTGGACTTGCTAGTTCGAACTAGCAAAACGCTAGTTCGAACTAGTTTTTAGTTCTAGATGCGTTAGTTCGAACTAGCTTAGTTCGAATTAACTAATTCGAACTAAGTTAGTTCGAACTAGCGCTGTAGTGTAGACGTACCCAGAGTGAAATACCCGTTAAATAGATCATGTAACTTCCATTGAAATGTTATCTGTTTAGAAGTGCCTATATGGTTTTAATGCCTTATAAGGATTTTTGATTCAGATCTGGTGAAGAAACACTTGTATTTATACTTGACATGTCCTGTATTAGGAGCTATCTTCTACCAATTCAGGGGGATGGATCTGATCGCCTAGGAAGAGTTTCTATTTCAAATTACTGTGATCCTATTTCTTTTTACTTTTTCAAGTTTGCTCTGGTGTTGTAAACCTCCATCCTTAGCTCTCTAACAACAATATGCAGAGAACAAATGTGATTTACTGAGGAACATCCCGTTTCTGTCATAGGGTTAGGAGAAATTCTAATTCATATTCTGCCCCACGTCACAGCTGTACTGGTTACACTCCCTTCCTCTTTCGCTCACTTCTCCAGTCACTTATATGGAATTTACACCAGCATAACTCTACTGATTTCAATGGAACTACATCTGTTTTACACGAGTATGAGAGGAGAGTTAGGGATGGCGAGGAAGGAAGAAAGCTGTAGAAAATTTGTCAGACAAGATTTTTAAGTACATTTTCATCGGTATAAAAACACTTTGCATCCTATAAGCATGAGAGGGGCTCTTTCAAAGAGCCCCCTAGAAGTAAGCCAGCTCATCATGCGTCGTCTTGCTGCTCTGATAGCTGGCGAGGCTCAGTGGTTTGTTCTCGTGAGGAAGGCTTTTGAACACCCGCAAGTGCAAGAACTCCTCATTGCCAACATGGACCTGAAAGGTAAGAAGAAAGGGACAGTGTATGCCATGGGAAAAAAGCCTTCCAGGGACAGGGTATTCTAGAAAGGCTTTTGAACACCCGCAAGTGCAAGAACTCCTCATTGCCAACATGGACCTGAAAGGTAAGAAGAAAGGGACAGTAAATGCCATGGGAAAAAGCCTTCCAGGGACAGGGCTTTCTAGCACGGGCGCGCTTGGGGATAGGGGAAGGGGCGCTGAGGAGGGGCCATCTTCTTACTGGGGCACAGGTGAGCTCACTTCCTGACTCTTTCACATACCGACTGTGTGGCCCTGGGGCAGGTCACTCAAGCACAGAAAGGTTGTTTCCCACCTGTAATATGAGGATCATCCTACTGGTTTACCTGCCCAGGGTGGGGTTCATTTATTAATGGAGGGAAATGCTCTAGTCTAATCTAAGCTGGGACTGCAAACCCTACAATGCCTTCTAATCACATGGCGGTTGCACGGTGCCACGCTAGGGAAGAGTGGCTCGTTTGGGGTCACAACAGACAAACGTACATTGGGTTTTCCCATCACCCTCTTCTGGGGCACTCCCAGTGAGTCCCCACCTGGGAACGCTTTGTTCCCAGCTCCTTTTGCCCTAATCCAAGGGGCTTGATACCTGAGTCTTCCCACAGCCCTTGGCTCAGGTCTTCTCCCCAGGGCTCCCTCTCTTCCAGCATTCCACTCCCCCAGGCCCACCCGCCTGCCCGTCCTACCCCACCCTGCTCAGGTGAATCCACCCTCCTGCAAAACCCTCAACTTCCAGGCTCAGCTTCCCCAGACTGAGCTAGCTCTTCCCCTTGGACAAGGGGACGCTGCCTGAGACTTCTGCTTGTCTGGGGGGTTCCCAGCTCCTCTCCAGCAGCTCACACCTACTGGTCTCCTTCTAAACTCGGCTCTCTGCCAAGCAGCTCCTGTCAGATCTTCCTTGCTGCTTCCTGTCCCTCTCCGTATCCCCTTAGACTCTCCAGGTCTCTCGCTCTCTCCTGGTCTCAAACAGTTCTCACTTGCCAATATGCCCCCACCCCCACCCCGCACAGGGCCCTCTTTTAAGCCCAACCGAGGGAGGGCTGATGAGTAACAGGTGTGCCGCACCCCACTCCCTCTTAAAGGGCCCAGTCCCTCTGGGATATGGATGTAGCAGTTTAACTGGGTGTCTGATATGCTGATGTTTATCGGTTTTGGTTAATGGTTAAACTCTTGCAGTGTTGGAGCTGCCAGCAGCTGGTGAGGTAGGTGGTGCTGGGAGCCCACAGGACTGGCAGCCCGCAGAGCCCGTTTAACCACGTAAGCGGTGGAACTGTAATTGCTTACACAGTTAATACTTTTTAGCCCTTTTTACCCTGCGGCACTCATTCTAAGGGCCAAATCACAGGCAGCTCTTTGTAATTAACTAATTACTATGCATATAAGATTCAAATTGAGACCCTGTTCCCCACTGCCCTGTACCTTGATGAAGTAGTTTATTCCAGCAACCAGCTGTGTTTTAAATTCCACAGCATTAAAGACCTCAAATTTCTTCCCTTCTTTTTCTTCCACCTGAAGCTTCACCTTAAGGAAACAGAAGAGTTTTTAGTGCTCAGTCTAGGCAGATGCAAAGTCTGGAACCCAGGCGCCCCACGATCAGTGTTTCCATCAGTACAGGTCACCCTGCCGGGGCGTCTGTGCACATGTAGCACTTCCCGCGTCTCCAAAACAGAATGGCTGAAGTAGGAGATGTTCCATACAGCAGGATGTAACAGAGCGATGGGCAACCTAGGCTCGTGAGTGGCTGCATGAGTGGCCCTCCTTCCGCCCAGCGAGCCACAAGATTGTGCTAACCGAGATGTTCTCTTGGGCTAGGGCAGTGTTGTGGTCTGCGCTTGGGCACTTGGAATTTGAGGGTTGCACTGACTGAACCTCCCGCAAAGCAGCCCCTCTTTAACTGGTGACAGAGGGAGCGCTCGGCAATTACAATCAGAGTTGTGTGCGATCAGCCTGCACCTCACTTCACGTGCCCTTGCTGTACGTGTGGTCACTCCAGTAATACCAGTAAGAAAAAACCAATGTGGACAAAACCCAGCAGAATCGGGCAACCCTGTGTGTGCGCAGCAGGAACCAAAATGTCTCACGGGCCACACGTAGAATTCCAATGGGCCACAAGTCACCTACCACTGATTTTAACAGATGGCAATTTCGTGCCTTCTCCCCAAAAAGCCTCACTGAATGAAGTGTGAGTATCTTTGGAATCCAGTGTATTAAACCCAAAGGCTACACAGTACTGTGGGCTGGGACTGTATTTTCTCTCTACACGGGGAGATGTGATATCAAGCCTGGGAAGTAGAACTTCCCGATTATACTGCATACTGTGCCAGAGAACAAGGGGCTTTTGGGACAGAGTATCAAGTGGTTTGGCTGGCGTCTCTTCAGGGGGATGTGAAAGCAAATTCCCTACTTCCAGTGATGCCCCAAACTCAGTCTTTTGAAGCTATACCCTGAGGAGAGGACGATTGTCTGCTGATCACCCCCGAGTCTCAAGATTAAAGGCCAATTTTATATGAAGGAGATAACAGAAGAACGACGGGGGGTCACCAAATGAAATTAAAAGGTAGAAGGTTTAAGACAAAGGAAGTTTTTCCTCACACACAACACACAGTCAGTCTGTGGAACTCCTTGCCAGAGGATGGGGTGAAGGCCAGGACTTTAACAGGGTTCAAAAAAGAGCAAGATAGATTCATGGAAGATACATCCACCAATGGCTATTAAGCCAGGCCGGGTAGGAATGGAGCCCCTAGTCTGTGTCAGAAGCTGGGAATGGATCACTTGCTGATGACCCGTTCTGTTCATTCCCTTTGGGGCACCTAGCACTGGCCATTGCCAGAAGTCAGGATACTGGGCTAGATGGACCCTTGGTCCAACCCAGTTTGGGGTAATGGTTCCAGTCAGCGGGAGGCCAGGCTGACTCTCTTCCAGGAGCAGAAGTCCGGATCTCGGGCCTGACTACAGGCCCAGTAGCAGTTTATGAGCCCAGGCCCTGGGTCCGGGCAGAGCAGCAGACAAACAGTTAAGCAGTTCAACACTCAGGCCTGTCTGCAGGCCAAGCAGGGGTCAGGTCTTCCTGCAGGCAGAGGGCCGACAGGCGAGGGAGTTTTCTCCCTACTGGGGGATCCTGCCACCCAAGGTGAGGTGTGGCAGGGGGGACGCAGGCCCAGCCGCTCCACTGCGTCCCAGCCCAGAGCCCTAACAGTGGCAGTGCGGGCTGCTTGGCGGGGATCCTGGCGGCAACACACCAACCAGGTCACAGGTCAGCGGGGATCCTGGCCACAACGTGCCGCCCAGCTGACCTCTGTCTCCTCTGCCGGACTCATGCTGGCTGCCCCTGGGCTGCTTCCTGATTCCTCCTGGGGTCCTACCTGGCTCCAACTCAGCTCCGCAGGGTCTGCTGCAGGGCAAAGGGGCTGACAGCGTGTCCATGGGCTCTGGGTCCAGGGCAGGCAAGAGTCCAGTCCATTCTTCAGGGCTTGACAAGGGTCCTGGAAGCAGTCTCTGCAGCCCCACCCAGTCGTCAGGGCTCAACAGTAATCATGGCAGCCCGGACCAGTCCTCCCGCCGAGGGCAGCGCAGTGGGGCCTTCCTCCTAGGGAACTTGGGCCGAGCGTCTGGCCTGCTTAACAGCCGGGCTTCAACTGAGGCGGGAGGTCCTCCTTTTATACTTCTGGCTCCGCCCTTCTGCTTCCTGTGGGTGGGGCCGGGTGGCCACGCTGATTCACTGTACGCCCTTCTGCTTCCTGTGGGTGGGGCCGGGTGGCCACGCTGATTCACTGTACTCCCCCTCCTGCAAACCCAGTCTTGGGACTCCGGGGCTGGATTCTGGCTCTTCCCCTGGGCGGGAGAAAAAGTCAGCATTTAGATGTTCCTTACTGGGTTGGTGTCAGACCGAGAAGGCGTATAGCTGCAGTGTTAAGTACCAGCGTGATCAGGCATTGGTGTCTTTCATCCGCTGTAGCCACTGCAGAGGGGCATGGTCCGTCGCAAGGACAAAGGGAGCACCTAATAAATAATAACGGAGCCTCAATGGCCCCTTTGATGGTGAGGGCTTCCTTTTCAATCGTGGAGTATTTGCACTTCTGTGGGAACAGTTTCCTACTCATATGCAAGGCAGGGAGTTCATCTCCCTCCCCCTCTTGTGAGAGGAACACCCCCAACCGTACTCCGGAGGCTTCCGTCTGTAGCACAAATCCCTTATCAAAATCCAGACTAAAAAGCACTGGGTCCTGCGACAGAATCCTCTTCAGGGTGCCAAAGGCCTCTTCACACTCAGCAGCGCTGCTGATTTGTCAGGGGCTGTCCTTCTTCCGGAGCGAGGCAAGGGGGGGCTGCAATGGCTGCGGATTGGGGAACAAAATGCCGATAATAGCCAGACAGGCCAAGAAATTGGGCGAGATGGACACTTGGTCCAACCCAGTACGGCCAGTCTTGTGCTGAGAGGTTTGGCCTGTTGGTGGGCCTGCTAGTCCTGAGCCAAGGCTGTCCTGAACTCGTCACCACAGAAATCCCCCTTTGAGATTCGAAGGGCCGACTCCTACCAGAGCCCTGGCTGGAGACAGGTGCTACGGTGCATTTGTGATTTTTACGGCATCTCACTCTGATCCACAGAGCCTGACCTAGGCACCCAAGTTCCCGTTACAATGATTCGGGAGGAGCAGGCGTCTCAGACGGAGAGCCACGAAGAGGCAGCATTCTAGGAGCTGATGTGGACAGAAGAGTTATGCCCATCTCCACCCCTCCAGCGGATACAGGTGCCTAAGTCTGGGCTGCAGGCGAGGCACCTCTCTGTGTCCAGTGATGCACAAACAGGAACCCTCTGCCTGGTGTCAGGGATTTAGGTGCCTACATAGTTTCTCATGAGAACAAGATAGGTACCTGCCTGCCTTGTTCACACAAAACAAGGGGCATGATTGTGAGGCAGACGGAGGAGGGATCAAGCTTTTTCAGTTCAACATTCAGAGCACTCATGATGGAGACCTAGGTTCAATTCCCTCCTCTGCTTAAGGGGGCGCAGGGAGATCCTTGTTTAAATCCTCTTAAAAGTCTCCTGTGGAACAAGGATCCCGTTTCCTATGGGAGTAGAACACGTGTAACTGAAGGCATGTTAAGCGCAATGTGCGAGGAAGTCTGTTGAATGGTTCTTTCAGAGTATGATACCTGCTTGTGACTGATGATAATAATAAAAAAAGTAAAAAGCATTTTGCATTTCATAACTTCTTCAATCTTTCTTTGAGGCTGCCAGCCCCTTGTGAGCTAGGTATCTTTAGTCCCGTTTTACTGACTGGGAAACTGAGGCACACAGCGAGGAAATGACTTTTCTCACATCACAGACAGTGAGAGAACCTGAGAGAAGTCACAAATTACTGGTTGTCTTTCTGTGCTCTGATCACGTAAGCAGACTAGCCTGGGCAAAATACAGACTGCGGGCAGCATCCACCCCACCAAGGCAGCGGATCTAGCCCGTGGACACTGCAGGGTGTCCCAGGCAGGCTCCCCACTTGCCTCATCCCACCCACACGCCGCTCGGAAACGTGGCTGTGGGGTGGGTTCTTCTTTAAAAACTGAGAGTCTGGAGGGGAGGCGGGGAGAAAGCTTTAGGAGCTGCTCCCACCCCAGCACAATCCCATTGGCTGGTTTCTGGACAAAAACTGGCCAGTAGGAGCTGCCTGTTTCAAAAACAGGCAGCCACAAAGCACAAGGGGCTATAGAACACAAGGCTGTCGACAGTGCGGGGGCGGGACGACAGGGAGGCAGATTCAGGAATGGCTGATAAGTCTCCTGCTAGAGCCTACCTCCAGCACCCCAGTCCCTCCCGTCCCCAACCCTCTGCCCCCCACTTCACATAACCCAAATCCTCTACCCCCCTCCTGTACCCATATCTCCTCTCAGAGCTGGCACCCCAATCTCCTGCCCCAGATCACAGTCCCCCCCACCCTAGCTCGCAACCCAAACCCCTGCACCCCCTTCTCTATCCCAATTCCCTGCCCTTGGTCACAATCCAACCCTCCTAATGCCCCAGCCCAGTGCCCCAGGTTACAACTGCCTCCCCTTTCCCCAAGCTCCCTTCTGCACCCAACCTCCATCCTAGACCTCCTCCATTAATCTCATGGAAGAGTGTGGCCCTTGACCACTTTTCCAAATTCTTGGAGTGGCTCCCCATCAAAAATTATTCTCCACCCCCGTTGTAGGCATTAGGTTGATGAGACTGATGAATTCAAACTTCATTTTTAGGGACAAGACAAATTAATTATACTAACACTAATGCAGCCTTGTAGGCCCTGCCTACAACAGCTGGTCTCACTTCTTTGTGGTGCATGGGTATGTATCCCTCAACCTATCACAGTCTCTGGTCAAGGTTCCCTCTAAGATTTCCCAGCCAGGAGTGGAGGGAGTTTTGTTTTGTGCACCAGTATCGAGGTCCTGTGCGCTGGTTCGGATATTATTAACAAATATCTTATACATATTGTGTAAAATGTTATTGAAGAATACTAAATCGTGGGGTAATTAACAGGGTGCATTACTTACAAGTGTTCATTTAATATGAA